ACAATATTATCCTGCAGGAGGCAACACAGGCCAGACATTGGTAGCTTACCTGTCTGCCAGGAGTGGTTAGGTGGTCAAAGGGCACTTTGGGAAGCATGTTGAAAACTCAGGACTCTTACCTTTGCCACAGGCAGCTTTCAAAAAGAATTCACAGACAGCAGCCCCTGACTCTGTAGAAAGGAAAAAAAAAAGGGACAGCATCAATTAAAGCTAGGTGCTACTGCTATTAGCAATCACTGAAGACAGAGTGAGGGGATCCTTCTGGCCTTTGACCCAGGGTACAGGAAACAGTGGCAGAGATGCAAATTCCAATTAAGCCAGGCCAAAAGCTGCTTATTTCAATCATTCCCTAAAAAATAAGAAATGTACACTGAGACAGAACATTACTTGGTACTTTCTGAGAAGTTCCTGGAAGGGAAACGCTGTCAAGTTAAGAGAGTGGGTGGGGAAGGCAGATAGAGCCCAAAATCACAGAAATGAGTTAATTACCCTCAACTCAGACCTCCCAAGAGGCCCAGTTCACAGCCACCTTGACATGAGGTAGAGGGAATAATGGTTTCACAGCTAATGGGACCCTATTTTAAAATAGAATAAAATAAATAAATAGGGCTGAGGATGTACTTTAGTGTGACAGTACTGGGTTCAATGTCTAATACTGAAAAAAAACATCTTAAAGAGTATTTCTGGTCTTTTGCTCTTTTTAGAGATTAGGGCTTCATTCCTTAAAGCTATCAATCCAGTCTAGAGACTGGTTCTCAAGTAGATGTGATAAGAGTATATCTTAATTATCACCAAAAAATCAAATAACAACAAATATTCTTGAGGCTATGGTGGGGAAGGAATCCTTCTGTATCATTGGTGGGAATGTAAACTATACAACCACTATGGAAATCAGTATGGAGATTCCTCAGAAAAATAAAACTAGAAATTTCACTGGACCCAGCTATTCCCGTTCTACGTGCCTTCCTTAAAGAGCTAAAGATGTCATATTAAAGTGACACATGCATACCCATGTTTGTAGCAGCAAATTCATAATAGGTAAATCTTGGAAGCCAACAGATAAGTGGATAAAAAATGTGGTGTTAACATACAGTGGAGTATTACTCTGTCATAAAACATAGATTTGAGTCATTTGTAGGAAAATAGATATACCTTGAAACCAAAATTTTAAGTGAAATAAATCACATACATAAGGTTAAACATCACATGGTTTCTTTTACATGAGAAACCCAAAATACTATATAAAGAGCAAAATAAAAGATACTAGCTAGTGGTGGTGCATGCCTGTAATCCCAGTACTAGAGAGGCTGAGGCAGGAGGCTCTCTATAAATTCAAGGTCAGCCTGGGCTACAAAGTAAGCTCAAGGTCAGCCTGAACTGCACAGTGAAACTGTCTAAAAAGACAAAAAATAAATAAAAAGATACTAGAAAATAGGGAGAAAGATCTTTTTCAAATGAGAACAGGATGGAGGGAGAAAAAAAGAATCGTGATGTACTACATACATGTCCCAACTCCCCACAACAAATGCACTGTATTTTCCTGAAAGATCTAACTAGAAAATAAGCCCTAGCATAGTTTTTCAAGATGTTTGTAATATAAGCACCCTCCCCAAAGCCCCAGTTAAAATCATCAGCCAGGCAAGGTATGATGGTGCACACCTGTAATCCTAGCACTTTAGAAGCCCATATAGTGAGTTTAAGGCCAGCCTGAACTCCATAGCAAGACCTTGTCTCAAAAAAGATCAGCCAGATGGATACATTTAGTATTTTGGTTGCAAAACACAATAAAATAGTATTAACTTATAATTAAATATCAACACTAATACTTAAAAATGATAATATGATTATTTGCAAATACTTATTAAGTAGGTGCCTTTGGATGAGAGGTAAATGCCTACATAAATGAATTCAAGACACTGCTGGATGACCAACTGGAAGAGACACAATGCACAAATGACCACGCATAGATGATAACAGACATGATTCTGTCTAATATGAACCTTCATAATTTAATACATCACATGTTGTTAACAGACATACTCAGTGCACTTGTGTGAAATAAAGAAACACTTTCTGAATTTTGGTGTCTGCAATTTTTCATCGCTTTTGTATGGCCCATAATTATCATTATTTTTGTAGCCACCCCTGACTCATAAGTCTTCAATTAACACTTGATTTAATGGAAACTTTGTGAAGCCCAGCTTGTAAGAGGTCATTACTTGGGTGAAGAATTGATGGGATAAAAAATCACTGACAGCTGTGCTGCTAATGGACCATGAGCAGGCTACATGGACAGAAGTACTCATTTTAGGAAAGCTTTATTGATGGACCCAAGAGATTAGGGACAGTGATTCTACAGAACTGGAATTACAAGAAATCCGGGCCAGAATTTGTGGCTTGGAGAGTTATAATAATGTTTCAGAAGGAGAGGCTTTCGTTGGTTAAAAAAAAAAAAAAGTTTCAGAAGAGGACATGACTGTATTTGAATGTAGATTTTTATATATGAATAAATGTAAATTTTGTACATGGATAAACATAGATTGCTGCATACCCCCTGAAAATAAGCCCTATTGTGTCTTTTGGAGCGAAATGATTAAGAACTGCTCTTATTTTGGGGAAATATGGTAATTACACATACTACAAACATATACGATAATAATAAAAACTAAAAACTGTAGGAAAAAAGCGTGCTTTAAAGGTGCGAACTTTTTGCAAATGGGGAGGGGATAAATAGATGGAGACAGCGGATGGGAACATAAAAAGAATTAAGATGTTATATACATGTACCAACTCAAGATAAATGTAATTATGTACTATAAACATATACAAATAAAAAAAGAAAGAAAAGGTTCATAATTTACAGTTCTCCTCAAACTGTGATGGGAATGAAGGCCAGGGACCAGTGAGGGCCATGACCTTGCTGGGACTTAACATACTGGACACATCACAAAACTCTGGGCAGAACATGTCAACCAAATCTGAAGTCCGGGGCTAGACATGTAAATAATCCTCCCTATGAACAAGTGTGTGGGGCTTATCATTGTACCCACCTCTAGAGGTAGACTTGTGGTGCCAGATGGGAGAAAGTTCTGAGGGAAGAGGTTACCTGGCACGGATTGTTCTGTGTCAGGGGCCACCAAAAGAAGAAAAGTTTCAAGTGGATGTGTACGTGGAAGCACTAAGGAATCAAAGGAGCAGAGAGGCAGGTAAGAGAGAGCCTGTATGAATCTGAACAGCTGCTTACAAGAGGCATCTGTGTATAAAAAATTAGTTGGTTTGATGAATGTGTATTGCTATAAACACTGTCTTGCACAGAAGTATCAATAATAGAGGAAAGAGTTTTGGTGTGTGTTAAAAAGTAAAGGCAGAAAGAGAGGCTGACAGGGATAGAGAGTAAAAGCATCAGCTACCACATTCTGGTAGTAAGGGGAGACAGCATGGAATGCTGGAGAGGTCCTCAGACTCTACCATGCATTGAGTGGTCATAAGTCCCTTCCACACCTGGCTTCAGGTTCCTCATCAACAGACTGAACTGTGACCTCTAACAGCCTGCTGAGTTACACTAGGCTTCAAGGATTTCCAGAAAAAAGTGAAGAAGGAAACTGCTGGTTCCTCTCTTTTTTTAAGGAGTTTTGTTATGCAGCTCAGGAGGACCTCCAATTCGTGACCCTCCTGCCTGTTTCCTGAATACTGGGATTACAGGCATGCCTCACCACGTTTTAGCTGCTGGTTTCTCTAAAAGTGCAAGATATCCCCCCTGAGTTGGTAAGGGTGAGAAGCCAGAAGTTACCATGTGAAGAGGGAGAGTTAAGGGAACTCAGACCAAAGGTCCACAACTGGGGCTTAGATGTGGCAAAGAAATTCAGGAAAAACGAGTTCTAGGCAGGCCCTGAAATAGGGATGAGCTCCCAGGAGTGCGAGTACCAGGAAAAGAATAGTTTGAACTGTGGTTGGTACGGTGAAGGAGAAGCGGTCCTTCCCTCGGTTGATGTCCTCCAACAGCCTAACTTTGATGAAAGCAAGAAGGCCCTCCAAGTAGGGAGCCGGGGGTGAGGAGGCTAATCTAGGTCGGACTTTCCCCTAGTTTGGGAAGTGTGCTAGGGGAGGTTTCCGTGCAGGATCACCGGCCTTCACGCTAGAAGCAGTCAACCACGGATAAGGTCCTGATCTCCTAAAGATAAGTGTGGAATAGCCACAGGGTATCAAAGACCAAAGGAAGGGGACTCCAGGTCAAAAGGAGGGGAGAACCGGTCCCAGGACCAGGGAATGGGTCTTGGTCCGAATGAAAAAGTCCCAGGCCTAAGAGGAAGAGTTCCCGAGTGCGAAATACAGAAGAGGTCCCAGGATCGGGGTAAAAGTCTTGGGGACCGGGTCCGACCCAGTCTCACCCGCCCGCCCGGGCCCCGCGCTCACTGTCCATGCCGGGGAAGGGCAGCGGCTGCGCCCCAAGCTGCTGCTCCACGGCGATTTCCAAGTCGAACTTGATGTGGTCCACGCTGGCAATAATTTCCTGCATGGTGGCAGCGGCGGCCCCCCGGCACGGCTCCCTTCAAGTGTCTCGCCGCCCTCACTCCCCTTTCTGCCACCCGCTCCGCCACACACAGTCCTCCTCCGCCGCGCCCGCCGCCGCCGCTGCCCGAGGAATGCCGGGAGCTCCGGGAGCCCGCGCCGGCCCTTTTGCCTGTTCAGACACGGCCAATCGAGCGCCAGACCCGGGTAGCCGCCAGCCAAACTTACGCTTCTCCTCGCCGGCAACTTCAATTTCAGCCCCTGAGAGCTCAAGCCGCAGACTACGCCTGCGCGAGGCCAGGTCGAGGCGGGCACCCAAGAGGTTGACCTCCGCGCTGAAGCAGAGACTAGTGGAATACCGGTTCTGCGGTCGCATTGTGTTTCGGGTGAGTTCCTACTCGATTCTCGCAGGAATCCCGGGACCTGGGCGGAGGGGCTCTTAGGGCCGAGTGGAGAAGCTCCCGAGTCTCAGTGAGACAAGCGATCCCAGGGCCAGAGGAAGAGCCCTGGGTCCCGCGTCTGAGCCGGTCTCACCGCTTGCCCGGGCCCCACGTTCACTGTCCAAGCCAAGGAATGGAACTCAGCCTCTGAAATCCAGCGTGCTGACAGGGGGGTCTCGTCAGTGTCGGTGAGCGTTTGTAAGGGTCTGCAGATGGTTGGGTCCTCAAAAGAAGATGGCCACCGTGTGTTTCTAATTCAGAGATTTTATTTTTAAATGTTTATTTCTGTAGTACTGGGGATTAAACCCAGGGCCTCGGTATTGAGCTACATCCCTGCCCCTTTCTAAAATACCTAGGATGGGCCGAGGATTTAGCTCAGGGACATTAAGCATTTGTTTGGCAAGTGCGAGGTCCTGAGTTCCATTCCCCGGTACCAAAAAAAAAAGTAAAATAAAATAAAATAACTAGGTTGTTCTCAAACTTGGAATTCTCTTATCTCCCCCATCCAGGGTGCAGGGATTACACCAGCACGTGCACCACTACACCCCACCTTCTAATTCCAGGGGTTAAACCTGAGTAAATTAATGAATTTAGTAGGCAGAAAATTCCACCTTCACTTTTTTCTATGTGAAACTTAGCATTTCCTTTCCTGACAGGCAGAGCAGCATTAGCGTTGTGTGAAATTTCTAGTGTTGCTAAGTGTAAATGGTAGTTGGAAACAGGATTTGTACAACTATGAAGTTTTAACTCTGCTTCAAAATTATGATTTGTTACATTAAAAAGAAACATGTAGTAGTATACCATGTATAAACATTAGTATAGTATTATTGTAAAACGGGTACAGTACCCCAACAAGTCCCTGTCCTGGGCCTCAAACTGCTGTTAACTCTGAGGTCTTTCCAATGGTGACCTTCTAATATTAGCAGACCTTTCTGATATTTTTTATTAAAGAGTTTAAGAATTCAGGTTGGACTCTAGCCCAGCCCTGCCCAAGAGACACATTGTAAGCTATATTTGTGTATTATGTATGTATATGTATGTGTGGTACTGGGAATGAACCCAGGGCTTTTGCACTAAGCTGCATTCCCAGCTTTTTCCTTGTTTTTTTTGTTCTTGTTTTTGTTTTGCACAGTGAATTGAACTCAGTACCTTAAGCTTGCCAGGCAAGGGCTTGTGCCACCCCAGCCCTTTTTTTAATTAAAAAAAAAATTTTTTTGTCCAACAGAAATATACAAGCACATGTATTATTTTAAGTTTTCAAGTAGTCATATTAAAAAGAATTTGTGAAATTATTGTTACTATATTTTATTTAGTCTAGCATATTTTAAGTATTATTTTAGGATTTTTAAAAGTTATATCATGTGTATTTGATATTGTGTGTCAGAATCCTTGAAATCTGGTAAACAGAAGTCTCTGTTTAGATTGGCCCATTTCAAGTACTTGGTAACTACATGTGGCTAGTGGCTGTTATTTTTATATTATTGTATTTATTTATTTTGAGACAGGATTGTGCTTTGTAGTGCAGGCCAGCCTTAAATTCACTTATATAGTCCAGGCTGGCCTCAGATTCACAGCAATCCTCTTGCCTCAGCCTCTTGAGTGCTGGGATTGCAGGCATGTACTAGCATGCCCAGCTTAGTAGCTGCTGTCTTAGCATATTTGACCAGATTTTGCAGAAGAGAAATGCTTGAGTTAGCCTCCATTTGCAGAGGCCAAAATGCCAACATTTTTTCCCAGTAATAGATTATAATAGCTATAACTTTTGACCACTTATTAAAATGCTAGACATTGGTCAATTTATGCCAATCATGGTGTCACATACCTATAATCCTAGCACTCTGGGAGGATGAGGCAGGTACTCATAAATTGAAGCCAAGCTTGGCCAGTTTATCATCTTAAATTCTGTCTTTAAAAATGAAAAGGGGCTGGTGACATAGTTCAGAAGAAGGCTCTAGGTTCAATCCCTAATCCTGAAAAAATAAAAACACCTCAATTTAATCTTGTAGTTGAAAAAATCAAGGCAAAGAAGGTCAAGTAATAGGACTCAACACAGAGGTCTGGCCAGGACCTGAAACCCAGCTCTGACTTCAGTGCCATGTACTTGAGGATGTTAGCTTATGTCTAACAAGTATTTAAGTGGGTGTCAGTGTTGTACTTACATGCTATATATTGCTGCAGTACTATGTGGATCACTTTACTGTTAATCTCAGTTCAGTCTTGGTTACTTTTTCGTTTTTGAGACAAAATCTGTAACACCCACAAGTTAAAGGAGAAAAGCTTATTTTAGCTCACAGTTTGTAAAGGTTTAAGTCTGTAGTCAGCTAGTTCCAAGGCAAGGCAGCCTGAGGAGGAAAAACAGTCTGAGGCAGGGCAGCCAGAAGGCAAGATGCAGCAAAACTGTGAGCCTCCCTTTCCTTTTTATCCCATCCAGTCTACATGCCTGTTGATTGGTGCTGCCCACCCGCTGGATCGGTCCTTTCATTATCTACCATTATTGGTCCTATTCATTATATACCAGAACTATGCTAAACCAATCAGTGGGTTTATTTAGTTTTCACACAACCTTAATCCATATTCATACACTGGAGAGCCAGCCACCTCTGAAAAGCCCCACCTGTGAGCACATGAGGCTCTGGGGGGACATCTAAATACAAGCCATAGCAAGATGCTAGTGGTTGTATATATTTTTGTTTTTTCCTGTGATACTGGGAAATTGGATTTTTATTTTATTTATTTATTTATTTATTTATTTATTTATTTTTGTCTTTTTTAAGACAGTCTCGCTTTGCACTTCTGACTGGCCTTGGGCTCACTTTGTAGCTGACCAGTCTCAAATTTTGCAATGATCCTCCTGCCTCAGCCTCTTGAGTGCTGGGATTTCAGGAGTGCACCACCACACCTGGCTGTGGATTTGTTTTGTTTTTGAGACACAGTCTTACAGAATTATTCAGTCTGGTTCTGAGCCTGTAAACCTTCTGCTTCAGTCTTCCAGAGTGCTGGGATTTTAAGTGTGCACCACCACAGCTGGTTCATAGAGAGCTGTTGCAAAGCTGGAATCTGAGCTGAAACTTCTTTAACTTCAGGACCCATGCTTGCAACCACCTCTCTGTCTTTCTGCCTTTTGTAAGTGTGAACCTGAGTTGACTTCCTTGTTTTTTTTGACTTGCTCAAGGTGCCATTGGAACAGGAAAGCCAGAGATGGACCTTGTGAGACTTGCCCGGCTCTTCTCCAGCCCTTGCCCTGTGAGACTGTCTATCCTCCAACATCTCAACCCACTTGGAGCCCAATGGGCAGGAGGCAGGGAGTGGCTTGCCATGTGGCAGACCTGGCCAGTGTCAGCCTTCAGTAGTTTTTCCTGCCAACTGCCACCAGGCCAAGGGAACCAGAAGAACATGAGCAGCCTGCCCTCCAACCCAAGCCAGCCCAGCTCCATGGACCCTCAGGAGGAAGAGGAGGAGGAAAGTTTTGGAACCCTCTCCAACAAGTACTCTTCTCGGAGATTATTTCGCAAATCAACAGCTCAGTTGTATAACCTGCAACTAAGGGAACAAAATGCTGAGGAAGATGAGGAAGGTAAACTGGAGCCAAAATCCTGGCAGGGTCGGAAGAACACGCCATACTGGTATTTCTTTCAGTGCAAACGCCTGATCAAGGAAGGAAAGGTGAGGAGTTTTTCTTCCTGCTGGGGTGGTTATTTTGTGCATTTGGAAAGCAACCCAGTCTTTTCAGCTGCTAAATGTTGGTATACTCCGCACTCAGCCGATGAGCCTTACCTCTCTATCTTTGCTCACTCTAGTGATCCATCAGCCTCATGGCATTGAGTATCCCCTGGCTGCTGTAGTTATGTTCGGATCTCTAGCCCTGGCCTTTCTGTGAACCCCTCATCTGTGTATTCCTAACACTTATCCTCATAGCTACCTGTACAAATCCAAGCCTGACATTTTTGTTCTTAACCTGTTTACCTCACACTTATTTTTCCTACAGTACTGGGGATTGAATTTAAGGCCTTTGCATTGAACTACTGTCCCAGCCCTTTTTTTGTATTTTTAAAAAAAAAAATTTTTTTTTTTTTTTTTGGTTTTTTTGAGACGAGGGAGGTCTTACTAAGTTCAGACTAGCCTTGAACTCAACTTTGTAGCCCAGGCTGGTTTCAGACTCACAGTGATCCTTCTGCCTCAGCCTCTTGAGTGCTGAGAACATGGGCATGCACCACCACGCCTAGCTCTGAATTTTATTTTTATAGAGTGTCTTGCTAAATTGCCCAGAATGTCCTTAAATTTGTAATCCTTCTGTCTCACCCCCATTGAGTTTTAGTATTATAGGCATGTGCCAAGGTGTCTTGCTTTCTCCATACTTCCTTTATCTCACTAAATGGCAATACCAGTATTTCATTTCACCAAGACCACGTTTCCTAAGTGTTTGGTTTTTTCACTGTGTGTGTGTGGTGGGGTGGGGAGAGAGACAGAGGGAGAGAGAGAGAGAGAGAATGTTAGCTGAGGTAGGTAAACAGGCCTTTATTGAGGGCACAGGAGATGCTTGAGGAGACACTAGCAGCCTTCAGAAGCTTAAAGAACAATCACAGCTTTTTTATCTGAAACCTAACAGAGGCGGAGTTAAAGGGGCAGGCAGAATGACATCCTGACCGCCAATAGAAAGAGCCTCTGCACACTGCAGTGAGCTGGAGGTTTAACTTACGAAGTTGTGAAATTAATACCAGGGGGCTCTGTCCAGCATCAAAGGCAGCTTGTACCTGAGGAAAAACCTATCACTTAGGTCATGCTTCTTTTGTTTCTTTCTCTTACCACCTGTACCTCCACATTGTTGCCACCCCCATTTCTCACAGCCATAGCTTGAATGCCCAGGAATAGCCTCCTAAACCTCCTCAGTTATTAAGACACTTGTTTCTGGGCTACCAGCTGTTTGTGTGATCTCTCATCTTGCTAACTGCTCACAACACAGAGCTGTCCTGTTGAACAGAAAGCAGATCATATTAATCTTCTTCCCAGGACCGCCAGTACATTCGGTGGTGTTAATGTTCATTTTCTGGCTGTGATGTAGGTTAGTAGTAGAGCAATTGTATAGCGTGCTTATGACCTTGGGTTCAATCCTTAACACTAAAAAAAAAGTCTGGTGGGAGTATAGCTTAATGACACAGTGTGTTCTAGTTTGCTTGAAGCCCTAGGTTTGATCCCTATTCCGCAAGAAGAGTTGAGGATGGTGGTACACTCCTGTAAACCCAGCTATGTGAGAAGCTGAGGCAGATTGCAAGTTCAAGCCTACCCTGACCTATTTAGTGACTTAATGAGACATTGTTTCAAAATAAAAATTAAAATTGAACTGGGAATATAGCTCAGTGCAAAGGCCCTGGGTTCAGTTCCCAGTATAGCAAATAAATAAATAAATAATTTTTAAAAGCTCACTTTCCTGGAAATTGATAATGACTTTACTGTATATTTATGTTTGAAAATCTCTTAATGGTGTATACTAAAGGTCATATGGATGAAATGAAGGGTGTCTGGGATTTGCTTTTAAAATGCTGTTTAGAGCCAAGCATGGTGTGGTACACCTGCAGTCCCCACATGAGAGACTGAGGCAGGAGCATTGCTGCAAGTTCAAGGCCAGCCTGGAACTACATAGCGAGACCCTGACTCAAACATGCCATTTAGAGCTGTGCACGGTGGCACATGCTGCTAATCCCAGCTATTTGGAAGATTAAGGCAGGAAGATTGCAAGTTTGAGGCTAGCCTGGGCAACCTAGCAAGACCACTCTCAAAATGTAAAAATAAAAAATAGGATTGGGGATATAGCTTAGTGGTAGAGCACTTGCCTAGTATATGGAAGGTTCTAGGTTTAAGCTCCTGTACTATATATATATATTTTTTAATTGGTACCGGGGATCAAACTCATGACCACGCGCTTACAAGGCAGGCGCTTATGCCCTGAGCTAAATCCCCAGCCCCGAGCTCCTGTACTATAAAAGCAAAAACAAGAAAAACATCGTAAAAAGCCAGGCATGATGGCACACACTTGTAATCCCAATACTCTGGGAAGATGAGGCAAGAGGATCACAAGTTCAAGTACAGCCTGTGCAACTGAGTGTTTTAGTAAAAACTGATACCAAATCTCTCTTATCCCTCAAAAGCAAGGAATAAGGAAGCCTAGCATAGTGGTACATACCTATTATCCCAGCACGTGGAGGGTAAGGCAGAAGGATTGCTGAGTTTGAGGCCAACCTACGCTACATAGTGAGTTCGGAGCCAGCCTGAACCACATGACAAGGCCCTGTCTCAAAAAAAAAAAAGGAGAAGGTGAGGATATAGTTCAGTAGTTCAGTGCAAAGTCCTGAGCACAATCCCCAGTACTACAATAAATAATAACTAAACAACCATACTGTTTGGAAGAGGTTTGCAGAATTGACCACCCATTTATAATCCCTATAGGTGATATTTTATATACATCTTGAATTCTTCATAATGAACAGTTAAGTAAAAGCTAAGGTCCTCACAATGGCTTATCCCTCCATTACTTTTCCACTCTCCTCCCCTTTCCTCCTTTACCCCACTGCAGTCACCGTAGCACTTCACTCATTCAGCTCCCACGTGTACTCCTGCCTCAGAGCCTTTGCACTGTCTGTTTTCAGAGAGCTGTTGGGCCGTCTGCCTTACCTTCAAGTCTTTGTTCACATGTCACCTTCTGGGTAAGGACTTACTTGGCTGTATCTAAAAGTGACTCCCCCACACCCTTGTTCAGCACTTCTTAATTTATTTTTTGTTCGAACACCTACCATCATCTGGCAAAAAGACATATTTCTCTTTTCTTTTGTTTCTTTTCTCCCTCCCAGCTGGCCGAGGCTCTGGAGCTGTTTGAAAGGCAGATGCTGAAAGAGGAGCGACTGCAGCCACTTGAATGCAACTACACAGTGCTGATCGGGGGCTGCGGGCGAGCAGGCTACCTAAAGAAGGCCTTCCGGCTCTACAATGACGTGAGTGTGGGGCAGGGCCGAGGGCTGGCACAGGCTTTGAGTGCAGAAAGATCTAAGTGCAGATTTGGGCGTGCCACTTGCTAGTACATTACCCTGACTGGGTGGCTTAAGCTCCTGGCATCAGATTCATCACCTGTCAACTAGAGATGACCTTGGACTATTAACTGAAATGATGTGCAAGTGCTTCAGAACCTGCCTTGGCCACAGCGGGCCCATGCGGCCTCTTCTCTGCTGCCATGCACAGTTGGCTTGTGCTCCTTTTTACCCCCATACCTGCACATGCATATACTCTGCTTCCAAGTCTACTTCTTTGGAAAGGACTTTATTTTTATACCAGGAATCAAACTCAGCACCTTGTTGCCAGGCAGGCTCTGCGCCACTGAGCGATAGCCCTGGCCCTGGAAAGGAATTTTATTATTCCTGGAAAATCACTTTACTTTGCACTCATGTCTCTTGGGTATATCATCGTCACTGTCAGAGCCAACAAGCTGTTTCCTGCATGAGTCCAGAAAGAGCCTCACCTCTGAGGACCATTGACTTTTTCTGAAGAGAGCCCATCTCCTGCAGCTAGAAACTAGCGTTTTCACTCCAGTAGGAGCTCCTGGGAACCCCGGTCATATTATTTGCCACACACTGCTCCATGCCTGATGATCTGTAACTGCAGTCCAGGGAGAGAAACTGCACTTACAAATAGAAAAGTAATGTCAGCCTTTGAAAGACCTAAAGTGCTGTCCAGCACTGCGCTGGAAAGGCAAAAGGCCACGCTGACAAGAGAGCTGGCTGAAAAAAAAGCCAGGTGTGGTGGTGTACTCCTGTAATCCCAGAACTCTGGACACTAAAGCAGGAGGATTGTCGCAAGTTTGAGACCAGCCAGGGCTACAAAGTGAATCCAAGGTCAGCCTGAACCATGTAGCAAGACTCTGTCTCAGAAAGACCAAAAAAAGGGCAGGGATTTAGCTCAACAGCATAAGTGCCTGACTGGCAAGTGCAAGGTCATGAGTTCAGTCCCTGCTACAAAAAAAAAAAAAAAACTGGCTGAAAAGCATTCAGGTGCCAGGCAAAGAGCCAGGGTGCAGGTGAGACAGTTGTTGGAGTTGTTGGAGACAGACTGGTAGCAGCCCTGAGGGTCTTTTTTTTTTTTTTTTTTTTTTTTGGTAGTGAGAACTAAACTCAGGACCTTATGCTTGCCAGGCAGGCACTGTGCTGCTGAGCTATATCCCTGACTTCATCCCTGAAGATAAAGTGATTGCCCTGCATGTAATCCAGAGAAGCCTATGCTATTCTGTATCTTTTTGTTGCCTTTTGTAAACTGATACACTTTTTCTAATAAACATTTCACTTTGGAATACTTTTAGGTTTATAGAGAAGTTGCAGAGACAGTATAGAAAGTTCCAAATATCTGAGCATGGTGGTGCATGCTTGTAATCTCAGAATTCCAGGATGTTGAGGCAGGTGGATTACAACTTTGAGTCCAGCCTGGGCATCTGATAACTTAGTGAGACCCTGTCTCGAAATAAAAAAGGACTGGGGATGTAGCTGAGAGGGAAGGCCCTGGTTTAAGCCATGATACCAAAAAAAGGAAAGAAAGAAAAATGTTTCCAAATATTCTTTACCCAGTTTCTAACTTGTTTTTACCTTACTTTGGGTTAGTGTATTTGTCAAGACAAGACGGCCAACGTTGGTGGGTGGCTGTTAATTAAACCCCAGACCTTATTTGAATTTCACCAGTGTTAGCACTGATAGCCTCTATTTCTGTATCCAGTCTGGGTGCCCATACTGTCTCTGGCTCCTGCAATCTGTGACCTTTTCCAAGTCTTTCCTTTTCTTTGTGACCGTGATCATTTCAAGGAGCACTGACGAGAGGTGATGGAAACTGCCTATCCATGTGCATTAAGGTGCTCCTGCTTCATGAGGAGACAGGAGTTGTGGCTTTGGGAAAGGGACATCAGAGAAGTGAAACAGCCCTCTTGTGTCAGAATGTGTATGACATCACCATGGCATCATTGATGACATTCACCTTGGTTACTTGGTGAAAGTAGTGGCCAGGTCTGTCTGGACTTTCTTTTTCCTTCCTACTTTCTGTTTTCCTGTGTCCTTCACAGTGCCCATGAGTCCTTGTGTATACGTCCTCCACTGCAGTGTGAGTCCCTCCTTGAGTGGATGCTCAGTGAAGACAGTCTGCCTTGCTCACCACTGGGTGCTAAGGGTATATGCAAGTCCTTAGTCCACATCTATTGAATACAAGCTACATGCAGAATGTGCGTCTTCCTACCAGGAGGACTCAGCCTCTGCCCTTTCAGATAAAGAACTTGAGGCCCAGAGAGATGAAGGGATATGACCAAGGCATCCCTCGTTGAGAGCATTGGAACTGGAGCTGGGATTTGAGCCCTGAGCAGCCTGGTTCTAGAAAGCTCTTTGAAGCCTCAGTGTCTTGTCACCTGTCCTTGGCAATCAGTGGCCTTTCTCTGACAAGTAAGTGCTTGTCTTACTCAGATGTTTTCAGACTCAAGTACTAGCCCCAGCCACTGGGAGGCTTGATAAGCTGAGTGTGTGTTTCAGAGGATACCAGCCTCTACTTTCTTGCTGAGCCCTGTACCTACTCCTCAGATGATGCCCTCATCCTCATTTTCCTGAGAGCTTGTGGTCCATAACCCCTCAGCTACGGAGTAATGCTCTCCTTTTCCCAGCCACATCTACTCTGACCCCTTGCCAGTCAGAGTGACCTGGCCTGAGGGCGGGGACTCCAGGCTGACCTAGAGCAGGTACAGAGAGAGTAGTTTTTTCTTGGCACTTTTGAGGATACAGGCACAGTTTTTAGGTCTCTCTGGTGAAGTCTACAGTTTAGACACCAGATTTTGATCTGTCCGTAAGCAAGTAGGATCTGAGACTGCTTGAACATAGTCATGGAGGTCTCTCTCAGGTCTTCTGGGGTAGCTGCTCATTTCTACCTGATCCTGGAGCCACCTCTTAAGTTTCTCCCATCTTAACAGATGAAGAAGCGAGACCTGGAGCCCTCTGATGCCACATACACAGCCCTGTTCAATGTCTGTGCTGAGTCCCCCTGGAAGGACTCAGCTCTGCAGAGTGCCCTGAAGCTCCAACAGCAGCTTCGGGCCAAAAACTTCCAGCTCAATCTAAAAACATACCATGCCCTGCTGAAGGTGGCCGCCAAGTGTGCAGACCTGAGGATGTGCCTCGATGTATTCAAGGTAGGGACACTCTTTCTGGCTCCTCCCAAAGGGACCCCAGCCCCCCATGACAGGAGTAAGGCAGAGGTTGGCTTCTCCCCTCCTGCAGAAGGATCAAGGAGGCTGCTGGGTTGTAGAGATCCAAGGTTGGTACAGCATAACCCTGCCCTGGATCTGACACCCAGAATGCTGTGTAGTAGCGGAACAGGAGAGTAGCAAGGATAGGGTGAGGCCTTGTCCCCCATGTGCTGGGACAGTCAAAGTAAATTCCGAGGACTAAAGAAAATACTCGAGGTGACTTATAAGAGAAGCTTCATTAAGGCATTGACAGCAATTGAACATGGTGGTGCACTATTGTAATTGTAGCACTCTGGAGGCCGAGGCAGGAGTTTCGCTGACAGTTTGAGCCCTGTCTGAACTATACATTGAGACCCTGCCTCAAAGAAAAAAAAAAAAAAACAACGAACAAAAAAACCCAAAACAAAAAACATCAATGCACAGAATGAAGTTTTACTTAGTAGCAAGAAAGCATAAGATCAGAATTTTTATTGGCAGCAGACTGGATTAATCAATCATCAGAAGGTTCAGGGACCTGACAGGAAATTACCAGAAGACCTAGTGGTGGCAGGCAGGACAGAAAACTTCCAGACAGCTCAGTGTCCAGTGGTCCAGGTGAACTATAGTACTCCATAGAGCTCTGTTCTGCACTCAGTTATTGCAGGGTAGAGAGGGTTATAGAGTAAACCACATGGCAGTGTCATCTGTCGCTTGCTTTGTTTTATTGTATGACCTGACCAGCATTCTAAGGAACGGCTGCCTTAGCACACAATCATGAAGGTAGTTGCTATAGATAACACTAGTTTGCCTGTTTCTAATGTTGTTAAGCTAATTATTTAAACAGCCCAGTACATGTGGACTTACAATGGCCCCTTGACTTGATAAGAGTCTTGGGATCACAAAAGGGCTAAATGCCCTCATTTTTCTAGGGATGATTAGGCAGGGAACCTCTGCTAACCAAAGAGACAGAGGAGAGACTTGAGGAGGTAGAAGGAAGGTATAGAGGAGGCCATGGCCAACCCTGATACCCCAGAGGACAGTGGGAACTAGACTCACTATGGACAGCACTACACAGTTGGGCTGTTCCTAGGGTTCCAGAAAGTGTGTCCTTCCACAGATGAGGAAGCTGATGCTCAAGCGGACCAGTGGTAGAGCTGGGGCAAGAACTGAAGACTCTTGAGTTCAGGGGCTAAGCAGGCTGCTGGATGGGTCTTTCCAGAGGAGCTGCCCAGACTTGCTGGGACCGAGCTGGGCAGAAAGGCCTGGAGGCTGCAGGGCAGCAGTCGGGTACATTGCTGAGGAGCTGGTTCTGAGCAGGCCCCAGATGGGTGGAGCAGATCCTGGCCCACATGAATTAGATAACGTCTGCCCTAAGCCTGGGCCCTGTCTAGCTTCTGAGTGGTTCTGCCTTGTTCCCTCCCCCAGGAAATCGTCTACAAGGGCCACGTGGTCACAGAGGAGACCTTCAATTTCCTGCTTATGGGTTGCATCCAGGACAAGAAGACTGGCTTCCGACATGCTCTACAGGTCTGTTCTTCCTCCCTGGCTTCTTGCCCTGCTTCCAGCATGAGGCTATGCCAGGGTGCTAGATGATGATCCTTGTCATGTTTCCTGAGCACCTGCTACTGCCCCATGGCAGGTACATTTATTTATTTGTTTGGTTTTTGTTTTTTGAGGTGGTTCTCACTATGTATTCCAGCCTGTCCTCAAACTCTTGGCAATCCTGCCTCAGCTTCCTGCGTGCTGGGATTACAAGTGTGTGCCACCGTGCCCAGCCTTCCTTTTTCTTTTTCTTTTTGGAGACAGGGTCTCACTTTTTATTTTATACTTGCCTTGAATTCACTGTGTAGCAGTTCAGCAGTCCTCCTGCCTCAGCCTCCCAAGTGCTGGGATTATAGGTGTGCACCATCACTCCTGGCTAGGGGCTTTTATATTTGGCATCTTTTGGTCTTCTCAGCAGGTGCTTCAGGGCACACTGCTTCCTATTTTTAAAGATGGTAGGCAGAGCAGTGCCTTGAGTGAGGGTGCAGCAAGCTCAGACCCCCTGCTCTGCTTGGTGAGCAGCCCAGACCCTCTAACCTCGTGGTCTCCAACAGCCTGCAGGGCCCAAATTCAGTCGGCCTCACAGCCTTCCTCTCCTCTCCTTCCCTTTCTTTTCCTCTCAGTGCAGCCCAGGGCTGTGGAATGTACTTGTAAATTCGAAGTCAAGCACACACTTCTAGTCTCACCTTAGCCCTGCCCGTGCCCCCACCCCAGTGAATTGGTGTTGGCATTGGTACTTCAGCTGTTCTGTGGCTTCTAAGTCTCCTCTGACTCTCTGTCCTCACATATGTGCCATAGACCAGCAGCTCTAGCCCTGTCCCTACCTTTCTGTGCACAGCAGGCTCCTTGGGTACTTTGCACAGTCTGACCTGTCCTCATCTGGGACGATGCAAGCACAGATGTTTGTATCCCCGCTGCGGTCTCTGGCAGCAGTGACCAGCCTCTTCTGATCCTCAGGAGCTTTCCTTACAAAGAGCTAAGATATGGTACTTTTTTTTTTTTTTTTTAAATTTTATTTAAAAGGAAAAAGAGAAAAACACAAAACAAAACAAAGCAGTGTAAGGGTACACGTAATACAGAACTACAAAAAAAAAAAAAAGTAAGAAATCACCTGTTAATAGATTACATATTATCATCTTAGAAATAGTTGCTCAAATCACAGTATCAAAGAATACAAAGTGGACATTCAAACAGAGAGACTGCAAACAGCTGTGTTCAATGATCCAAAAACATTAATATAGTCAGCTATTTAACACCCCTAAACACACTTGCTGTTATATCCGTTAGAGCTCTTTTTTTTCCCCCTCTCTTTTTTACAACAAAATTTACACATTTTGGATTTTATTACTCCTTAGTTCTTATTACTTTTTTGGGGGGGAGAGAATAAAGTCAAATATGGCAAAACAAAGCTGTCAGTCAAAACCAAGAATAGACATAGCACATGATGTAAAACAGAGTACAAGGTTATCAGCAATGGTTATCAATGATGTCTCTTGTTTCCTTAAAAAGAATTGTCTATCTCATTAGATATTATAAAGTTGAACAAAACAGTAGAGAACAAGACCAATAAAACTTAGGCATTGTGAACATTACAGGACTTTCAAAGGAGACAATAGTCCAACCAGAATGGGCATCTTAGTGAATCTTATTGCCTTCAAAGTAGTTGCCTATACCCTCAAACTTGATACTATCATACAGAATGGAACAGAGTCTAATCAGTCAAAACAAGATCGTGGGAGTATTACAGGACTTCAAAACAAGTTAATAGGAAATCAAAAAGAGTTACTATTATATATCCTGCTAATTTTTTTAATTTTTCCCCTTAATTAAAACAAACATAAGAAATAACTAAATAATTTTTTTAAAGAATAAGGGAGAGATTGAGATAAAACAGGACATAACAATATAGCAATACAGGTCAAAGCAAGACTGTTTCAGCAACCTAGTGCTTCACCACCAAATAACCCGACTTAATAGTAGTTACCATAGTGTCTGTCTTTTTCCTTGAAATATTTGGATAAAACTTCATATACTATAGCTTCAAATATTTCCATATCAAGAAGCCCAGAATAAAGCGTTTCCAATTAATAAGTGAAAACTTTATAAGGCTTCAAGGCCACATAATGGGGAATCATGATTACCACATATTTTTATATATTTGAATCATTACTTACTTTAGGGAAACTATTCGGTATTCACACATGCGAGATTGATTTATTTCACTTATGAGTATGGTCTCAAGCTGCGCCCATTTATTGATAAATATCTCAATGTGATCCTTCTTTATAGCTGAATAATACTCCATTGTATAGAAATACCACAACTTTTTTATCCATTCCTCAGTTGATGGACACTTGGGTTGTTTCCAAGATCTGGCGATTACAAATTGTGCTGCTATAAACATAGGTGCACATATATCACTGTGGTATGATGCTTTCAGTTCTTCCAGGAATATGCCTAGAAGTGGAATAGCTGGAATAAATGGTATTTCCAATCCCAACTTTTTGAGAAATCTCCAGACAGACCTCCACAAAGGCTGTACCAGTCTACACTCCCACCAACAGTGCAGGAGAGTTCCTTTTTCCCCACAGCCTCTCCAGCATTTGTTGTTATTGGTTTTCTTGATCCTGGCCACTCTTTCAGGAGTTGAGATGGTATCTCAGTGTGGTTTTAATTTGCATTTCTCTAATGACCAATGATGATGAACATTTTTTCATGTATTTATTTGCCATTTGCATTTCTTCATCTGAGAATTGCGTATTCATCTCAGATGCCCATTCTTGGATTGGATCTTTGAATTTTGGAGGTCTGAGTTTTTTTAATTCTTTATATGTTTTAGACAAGAGTCCCTTGTCTGAGAGAGAGTTCACTAAAATCTTTTCCCAGTTTGTGGGTTTTCTTTTCACTATGCTGGAGATTTCTTTTGACATGGAGAAACTTTTTAATAAGAAGTGGTCCCAGTTATTGATTCTGGGAAGTATTTCCTGTGCGGTTTGAGTTCTGTTCATGAATTCTCTACCTACTCCTATGTCTCCAAGGTTTCTACCCAATTTGTCTTCCAATAGATTTAGTGTTTCTGTTTTAATATTCAGATCTTTGACCCATTTAGATTTTAATTTAGTACATGGTGATAGACATGGGTCTAGCTTTAGTTTTCGACAAATGGAGAGCCAGTTTTTCCAGCACCATTTATTAAAGAGACTGTCGTTCTTCCAATGAACCTGCTTGGCTCCTTTATCAGAGATAAGGTGGTTGAGTGTGTTTGTAGTTGTGGTTGTATCTTCTAATCTATCCCATTGATCTTCGGCTCTGTTTTGATTCCAATACTATGTTGATTTTACTACTGTTGCTTTGTAGTATAACTTCAAGTCAGGGATTGTGATGCCTCCTGCTTTGTCTTTGCTGCTTAGAATTGCCTTTGCGATTCTAGGTCTCTTCTGGTTCCAGGTGAAATTTAGGAGTGATTTCTCTAGATCTATAAGGTGTGTTAATGGTATTTCTATTGAGATTGCATTGAATCTGTATAACAGTTTTGGGAGAATGGCCATCTTCACAATGTTTGTTCTTCCTATCCATGAGCAAGGGATGTCTTTCCATTTTCTGAGATCATCCTCAATTTCCTTTTTTCAGTGTATTATAATTTTCACTGTATAAGTCTTTCACTTCTTTCGTAAGAGTAATTCCTAAATATTTCATTTTTTTGCTTGCTAATGTGAATAGTCCAGTTTCTCTTATTTCCCTCTCTGTGATTTTGTTGTTTGTGTATAGGAATACTATTGATTTCTGAGTATTGATTTTGTATCCAGCCACATTACTGAATTTATTTATTGTATCTAAGAGTCTTTCAATGGAGTTTAGGGGGTCTTCTATGTAGAGTATCATGTCATCTGCAAACAATGATAATTTAACTTCTTCTTTTCCTATCTTTACCCCTTTTATTTCTCTCTCTTGCCTAATTGCTCTGGCTAGTACTTCCAGTACTATATTAAATAGGAGTGGTGATAAAGGACATCCTTGTCTTGAGCCTGATTTTAAAGTAAAGGCTTTCAATTTTTGGCCATTTAGTATGATGCTGGCGGTTGGTTTGTCATAAATGGCCTTTATTATATTGAGGTAAAGACCATTTATTCCAATTTTCTGTAAGGTTCTTATCATGAATAAATGTTGGACCTTATCGAAGGCTTTTTCTGCATCTATAGAAATGATCATGTGATTCTTATTTTTGGCTTTATTGATATGGTGGATTACATTTATTGATTTGCGTATGTTGAACCATCCTTGCATTCCTGGGATGAATCCCACTTGGTCACAGTATATAATCTTCTTGATGATTTGCTGCATCCTATTTGCCAATATTTTATTGAGGATTTTTGCATCTGTGTTCATTAGGGAGATCGGTCTATAGTTCTCTTTTTTAGTTGGGTCTTTCTCAGGTTTTGATACTAGAGTAATATTTGCTTCCAGGAATGACTTAGGAAGGATTGCTTCCCTTTCAATTTCATTGAATAGTTTGAGGAGTGTTGGCATTAGGTCTTCTTTGTATTTCTTGTAGAATTCTGCAGTGAATCCTTCTGGGCCTGGGCTCTTCTTGGTGGGTAAGGACTTAATTACATTTTCAGTTTCATTAACAGAGATTGGGGTATTCAACAGTTTTACATCCTCTTGATCTAGCTTTGGTACTTCATATGTTTCTAAGAATCTGTCTATTTCTTCTGTGTTATCAAACTTTTGAGAGTAGAGATTTTCGAAATAGGTGTTGATGATGTTCTGTATTTCTATTGGGTCTGTAGTGATTTCACCTTTTTCATTTCTTATTGCATGAATTTGAGCTTTTTCTTCCCTTTTTTCAATAAGGTTGGCTAGGGGCTTATCGATTTTATTTATTCTTTCAAAGAAGCAACTCTTTGATTCGTTGATTCTTTGGATTGTTTTCTTAGATCTATTGCATTGATTTCTGCTCTGATTTTTATAATTTCCTCTCTTCTTTTGGCTTTGGGCTTGACTTGCTCTTCTTTTTCTAGCTGTTTGAGGTGTAGCATCAAGTTATTTATTTGTATTCGTTCTGTTTTCCTGATATGGGAACTCAGTGCAATAAATTTTCCTCTGAGGACGGCTTTCATTGCATCCCACAGATTCCGGTAAGTTGTATCTGCATTTTCATTTTCTTTTAGGTATTTAATTTCTTCTTTAATTTCTTCTGTGACCCACTGATTACTCAAGAGTGTGTTATTCAGTTTCCATGTGTTTGCGGGATTTTTGCAGTATCTTTTATCATTAATTTCTAATTTCAGAGCGCTATGATCCGATAACATGCAAGGGATGATTTCAACTCTTTTGCATTTGTTTAAATATGTTCTGTGAGCTAATATATGGTCTATTTTAGAGAATGGTCCATGTACTGCTGAGAAGAATGTGTATTCTGATGTTGTTGGGTGGAACATTCTGTATATGTCTATCAAACCCATTTGTTAAAAATATGGAATGCTTCACGAATTTGCGTGTCATCCTTGCACAGGGGCCATGCCAATCTGCTCTCTATCATTCCGATTTTAGTATATGTGCTGCCGAAGCGAGCACTAAGATATGGTTCTTTCTAGTTCTTGGCTTAGATCTGTTCTTGTTAGAAGTAATCTGTTACCCTAATGTTTGTGTTACGTACTTATTGCACTGCTTCTGTTAGGTATTAGTTGTTTCAAACCCTTTTCCAACCTTTGTTTTTTTTCTTTAAGACTGAGGATTGAATCCAAGGCTTTCACGTCCCCAGGCCTTTTTATTTTATTTTGAGACAGAGTTTTGCTAAACTGTTCAGGCTGGGCTTGAATTTCTGATCTTCCTGCTTCCTCCCTCCTGCTGGGATTATAGGCATGAACCATAATATCTGACTTGGTAGCCATATATTGCAGGTGAGGGAACTGAGGCAAAGACCAGTAGCTTGTAATAGGTCCCACAGCTACTGACACTCACCCAGAGTTAAACTGATACTCATTTGATTCCTAATCCTGAACCCCTGCCACCACTCTTCTACTGTGAAATAGTGGGTTTCCCTTGTACTTCCCTTCTGTCAATCATCCCTTGAGGGGTGTGGCTGCCAAGACCCTGCCTCAGTGGGCAGTGGCCCTCTTGCAAGATTTGCTAGCTGAAGCCTGACCCAGTCTTCCCTACCCACACCTCTGATGAAAGTGAGTGTCAGATGTGTGTCCCAGCCCTGGAATGAGTGCAGGCATCTGTTGAGCCCACAGGCAATTTTTTTTTTTTTTTTTTTTTTTTTTTTGTACTAGGGATCAAACTCATGACCTCGTGCTTGCCAGGCAGGCTCACCACTGAGCTAAATCCCCGGCCCTCATGTGATATTTTAAAGATAGTGTGGTGGAAGTGTTTGCCTGTGATCCTAGCCCTCAGGAGGCTGAGGCAGGAGAATCTCCTTGTCTGAAAAGCAAAGCAAATCCAGAAACAGCATGGTTTTCAGCCAGGCATACTAGCACTTGCTGGAAGCTTGTTAACATTCTGGAAGGCTGAGGCAAAAAAAATTGTAAGTTTATGTCCAGTCTGAGCAGTTTAGTGACTTAGCAAGACTCTGGCCTCAAAATAAAAAAGGGCTAGGGATGTAACTCAGTGTGAAAGTCCTGAGTTCAATCCCCTGTACCACAAAAAAAGAAAAAAAATGGCATAGTCTAGGCTAGTATGAGAGTTACCCAGATGTGATCAGAACTACATTTGTTGATCTCACATTGAATGTACTAGGTATGATGCTGTGGAGATAAGAATGATCTTGTCCCACAGGGAAACAGGATCCTGGGGTCACATCTAGGAGAGGTGAGGGCTTCCACTGCCGCCTGCCTAGCACTGGTGCTGTACTCTGCTGGTTCTGTGTTGGCTCTGTCCTGACTTCTGCTGATCTCAAGGAAATCAGGCAGGAGTAAAGAGTGGGCACTTGGGGGACGCTCCTGAGTCCCAGCCTCAAATGTTAGCCTGGACTCTTGGAGAACTTTGGCTCTCCTGTCCATTCCTTAGGGGCAAGCAGGAGAAGGTAGGTAGGGACCCCAGGTAAAGGAACTCTGGGAGAGAGCAGTGAGACATGAGAACAGTTTCGAGATGAATTTGAGGAGGGAAAAGAAAGTTGCTGGCTCTATGAGCCTTCCTAGGAAGTTTTAGAATTGTCATAGTTCTTAGTTTCCAGAGCTGAGTGTTGGGTTAGAATCATTGCTTTTTCTTTGTTTGTTTGATTTTTTTTTTTTTTTTTTTTTTTTTTTTTGAGATGAGGTCTCACTATGTTACCCAGGCTAATCTTGAACTCTGAGTAGTCACCAGTCCTTCTGACTCAGCCTCTTGAGTGCTGGAACTACAGGCATGCACTACCATACCCTACTATCTTTTTTATTTTTTGCTGCAGCTGAAGATCAAACCCAGGGCCTCATGTCTACTAGGCAAGTGCTTTACCATTCCATCACATACCCAGCAATAATTTAAGAAGTTGTATGTGTTGGGGGGCAGTCCTGGGGATGCACCAAGGGGCCTGCCACTGAGCTACATCCCTACCCTTCTTGTGCCTTTTGAGGTTGCTGGTCAGACCGTCAGTTCACAGTGCCCATACACCTCTGCCAAAGGCTCTTAATGGCAGGAGCACTGAGCTGGTATTTGTCTCTCTCCGGGCAGGTGTGGAGACAGATGCTGAGTCTGGGGATCAAGCCAAACCGGCATGGCTATAACCTGCTCTTGGGGGCAGCTCGAGACTGTGGCCTGGGAGACCCAGAGGTGGCCTCCAGGCTGCTCTTGAGGTCCAGCGAGGAGATGGTCCTGCTTCCGCACCAGGAAGGCAAGCAGCGGGCAGGGAAGAGAGACCCACCCAGGGCAGGTGGTGGCACATCAGCAAGACTGCTTGTGGAGGCCCTGGAGAGGCAACTCTGCATGGAACTTTCTCCAGCACTTGAGGTTCCTCCGGAGCCTTTGAAGTCTACAGTGTCTGATAAGGCCCAACCTGAGGTGGAAACCAACAAAGAGACCAGCCATACTGCAGCCCTTACCCTCAGGCCCCCAAAGCCACTTCCCTTAGAACTGGAGGTCAACCTCCTGGCCCTTGGGGCTGTCTCCCCAGCTGTAGTCTCACTTGGGGCAGTGACCACCCCTGCTGACAGGCTGGTCTTGATGGGGGGCCTGGAAGGCTTCCTAGGCAAGATGGCTGAGCATGGGCTGCGGCCCAACATCAAGACTCTCACGCTGCTGGCTGAGGTGGTAGAGCCTGGGAGCCCTGCAGAGTCCTCACTGCTGACCATCCTGGATAGGCACCAGGTGGAGGCCGATGTGACATTTTTCAACACACTAATGAGGAAGAAGAGCAAGCTGGGGGACCTGGAGGGGGCAAAGGTAAGGGGCTTGGGGCGAGAACCTCCCTTTCCTTCCTTCTCTGACCCTTGCACCTAAAACATGGCTCACCTCTTAACAGACAGCTCTGGAGTCCTCTCAGATCTGGCCCTGGGTACAGCTGGGATGGAGCCATGAACCAGCCAGACATAGCTGCCCTCCTGGGGGATCTTAGGGACTGGTAGGGAAGGATCCTAGGAAGTGGTGGTGTCAAACATGTCATTACATGGGCACGGGGTGGGGGTACAAAATGGGCAGGTGCTGTGGGAGGCAGCCTCTGATGGCTCCAGTGACACTGCTGAATGTCACTGCCTTCAATGCCTCAGACTGACACTGCTCCTTCTGTGCTTGATGCTCTTCTTAGAGCCTCTTGTCCATTTGCTCCTTTACCGATCACACCAGAAGGCACTGGTGGGAACGTGAGGGTCTTGACAGGGTTTTTGTTATTTGTTGAATTTTTGTTTGTGCATGTGCGTATGCATGTTTGTTTTGTTTTTTGAAGTAGGGGGTTGACTGCAAGGCCCTCACACTAAGCTACATCCCCAATCCTTTTTGATTTTTAAATTTTGAGACAGGATCTTACTAAGTTGCCTGGACTAGTCTTCAACTTGGAATACTTCTGCCTCAGCCTCTCAGGGTGCCAGGAATAAGGAAATATACCATAATGCCCAGCATATCAGGGTTTTGTTTTTTTGTCTTTTCAAGATACAGTTTCACTGTGCAGTTCAGGCTAGCTTTGCACTTAGTCATCTTCCTGCCTTAACTCCCAAGTGCTGGGATTATAGCCATGTGCCACCATACATGCTTTATGTGATACTTTTTTTGTTTTGTTAGAAGCACTACCCAGGGCACTTTCACTGTAGCTGTGGCCTGTCCTTGCAGGCTCACAGTGGGACCACATCTTCTTCTGGGCAGGCTAAGCATGATAAAACCTTTCTGGAGGCCCTCTCTGGCTCAGCCAATCTTTGCGGGCAACCTGATTCCTCCTGCCTGTCCAGGTGCTCCTTAAGCCAGTACTTCTCATACTGCTCAGTGTTAACTCCTGCTCTGCACCCAGTTCTCAAGGAACCTTGTGCTGGGACTGAGGGCAGGGTTGGCCAGCTGAGGAGCACATAGTGGCGGCAGGTAGGAGTGATGGGAATATGAAGGGCATTCATGGAGAAGGGACAGGCAGGCTGGGGGTCACAGTGCATGCTAGGGAGTTGTGTCCTGAGTAAAGTTGCACAGGATGCAGAGCTGTGCCCCTGGGGTCTCCAGCAAGAGCTTTGCTGTAGGTCTCACCAACACTGGAGTCACAGGTTATAGTGACACCATGTCTGTCCTCAGGCACTCTTGCCAGTCCTGGCGAAGAGGGGACTCATCCCCAATCTGCACACGTTCTGCAACCTGGCCATTGGGTGTCACAGGCACACGGATGGTCTGCAGCTGCTGGCAGACATGAAGGTGAGGGGATCCAGACCTAGGCAGCATGCCCGTGATGCTCTAGAGCACTCTGGGAGAGGTCTGCAAGGAAGTTGAGGGTAGGGTGGGGCAGCTCTACTCCAGTGCAGTGGCCATCAGCCGCCTTTGGGACAAGGAGACCTTGGTGAGCTGCTGTGACAATATTCCCATAGAGCAGAGACATTCTCATCTTGAAGACTGTGGTGGTGAGGGGTACTGCAGAGATGTGCCTTACCTGGTAGGTGTGTCTAAAATGGAGATGGATCAAAAGTCCTAGGGGGCAAGAGATTGTTTTCACAGCCTCTAAATGGTTCTGATACACATCCCGCCCAATCCCCATTGAGACTGCACTAAGTGGTTTTCTTTTAACCTCAGCAGAGGGCACTTCCTGGGCCCAGGTGGTTTGCATCACCCAGCCAGTGCCGGTTGCTTTTCTAGACTGCCACCTCCTGGTGATGATATCACCCATAAACACAGGAGTCATGAAATGAGCCTCCTGCCTCATTTGCTGCCCTAGTCAGTTGGTCTCAGAGCAGCACAGTCTTACTGCAGTTCCCTGGGGTGAGGGGCAGGTCATGCTCACTTTCCTTCTAGATGGGAGTGTTGTTGCTATAAAGCCCTACCCTTCCTGGCCCTGCTGGTCTTTAGAGCAGACCTGATTGGCAGGGCAGCTCCCCAAGCTGAATATGCTACAGTGAGCTGTTGGTCCCAACAGCTGCCAACATCTTGCTGATTGTGTGATGTCCACGATGTTTCAGAAATCCCATATGATCCCAAACACCTACATCTACAGCACCCTCATCAATGCAGCCCTTAAGAAGTTGGACTACAGCTATCTCATCGACATCCTGAAGGACATGAAGCACAGCAGAGTTCCAGTGAATGAAGTGGTCATCCGCCAACTGGAGTTTGCAGCCGAGTACCCACCCACCTTTGACCGGGTAAGGATACCAAGCTCTGAGATGCTGTCTCCTTGACTATGGCCATCCTGGAGCTGGCATTCCTTTGTCCAGCAGTTTCCCTTAGGAGAGATCCGAACGTCTTGACTGTGTGTCCCAAAGGTCTTGTCATGCTCAACCGTTGGTCCCCTGGCTTCTTACCTGCCTTGGAAACATGTCTCCGCTCCGCCTCAAATAGACTCGCCGGGTTCTTTCTGCTGTAGGTCTTTGCTTGAAAAGGCTTTCTTCAAAAATGTCCTGCTGCCTGCTTCTCCCCACAGCATACAGTCCCGTAATATGTGTGACTGCCACCTTCACTAAGCTTCCAGAGGTAGAGGCCGTCTGCCCTGCTAACGGGCCCCAAGTTCCTGCAGGCTGCCTATGAATCCAGTGGGCTGGCAGCAGCACCACAGTGATGGAGCTGATTTAGCAGGGAACAGGGAAGGTTGTGCCTGCCAGAGGGCACAGCTGGGTGTCTTTGGACACTTCCTCATTGAGTCCTGAGTTCTCCACCAGATGGCTAGTCTTTGCTAGTTATGTGTTGTAAATACTTTCGGTTGGTGGATTCTCTCCACTGAGTTTTAGGATCCAACACTGGGGTCCTCTTAGGTTTAGCAACAGTCACAAGACTACCTGAGGCCTCAAGTTCATTGTATTAAAAACCATGTAGCAGTGTTCCCTTTAATTGTGGGGCTTTTTTATATTTCTGTTTGTGATTCTGTCAAGTTGTTTTTCCTGAGGCAGGGTCTTGCTGTGTGTTTAGGTTGGCCTTAAATTCAACAGTCCTCCTGCCTCAGTCTCCTGAGTGCTAGGATTTTATAGGTGTGAGCCACCATGCACAGCAAGTTTTGCTTTTTGTGTCCTTTCAGGCCATTCTGTGTGTACATTTAAGTCTGGAATTGCTAAATCTTTTGAATCAAACATTTGTCACATATGGAGACATGCTTCATCTCTGAGCATTTTTCTGCACAGTCCCCTTTCAGTTTTCCTTCAGTACCTACTGTACTTGGTGTGTCTTGTTTTTCCTTTTACTGCTTCCCTGGGGAGGCAGCAGCTATGCTGGAGGGGAAGTACTCAGCAGAGTACAGGCCACTGTTGGTAGAGCCCAGGGTTCTAGTTTGCAGGCTAAGGTGACATTGGTGTGTCAAGGATTGCAGTGCGTGGGAGGAAGACACTCCCATATTGAGCTTTCCTGTGCTGTCGCCTATGGCCCCTGAAGGGTGAGCAGCAGAGACCGGATTTAAGTCCTGAGCCAGCTGCTGTAGTTTGGGATCAGCTGTAGGTGAAATGCAATGATTTGGATTATCCAAAGACTCCCCTGGACTCCATGTTTTTTTCAATTACAGTACCAAGGGAAGAACACCTACTTGGAGAAGATTGATGGCTTCCGAGCTTATTACAAACAGTGGCTGAAAGTGATGCCAGCAGAGGAAACCACCCACCCCTGGCAGGTGTTCCGGACCAAACCCAAAGGAGACCAGGACACCGCCAGAGACATTGGTACAGACAGAAGCTTTGAGGGCAGGTGATAAGGGCACATGGCTGGCACAAAATGTGTGGACTTTTCAGTGCCTGGTGGGAGTCTCAGCGTGCTGCTATTGGTTTGAGGACATCTGTCAGGCCCAGGTGCTCTGACTGAACCTCAGGGACAAAAAGTCCCCAGGGCCAGGCCTGGCACTCTTCTAGGTTCTGTGGCTTATTGCCCTGAAAGAATGCAAGACTCAAGAGGCCTAAAGACTTTATTATTACAAATCACAGCTGGTGGACACCAAACCTTCACCTGAAGAGATCACACTCCAACTAGGGCCCAGAGCGCTGCTCCAAAAAGAGCTGCTCCCGGGGTCCAAAGTCCACGATGGAGAAGCCTCAGGGCCAGATGGCCTTAGCCAGAGCAGCCTCTGCAGCCGCAGTGCGTGCACTCGATGATGCGACCCTGCAACAGAGGACAGCTGACCATGAGACACCATGTCCAGTGCCACGTACCCCTGCAGCTCCCACACAGTGGCCTCCAAGTAGGATGCCAGTGGGACTTCCTGCAGTATACCTCTCAAAATCCTTCCTGGACAGTACTGTACGAGGATTGCAATTCCCTCATGAAAAAGGAAACGAGCCAGGTGTGGTAGTGTACACCTAGCACTCTGATGACTACTGAGCTTTTAGCTTGGGCTAAAAGTGAGTTTAAGATCAGTCTCAACTATATAGTACTATTCTGCCTCAAAAAAAGTTTAAAAAAAAAATGACTGTCAGCATTGATGTATGCATTTAATTTGTGCAAATTCAACATACATTCTTGCTCAGAAAAAAGTCTTGTGTGGATGACTCTTACTCTCTGCTGGTTGAGGTGGGAATGCTAGTGCTCAAGAGGCTCAGTGCCACATCTTGACTGGGACACTTGTTGGTAGGAACACTAGGGGAGAAGGGTAAGTGCACCAGACTTCATGTGGTCAGCCAGACAGCCTTGTCCTGCAGGCCTGGTGTTTGGCTGCGGGTCTGCCCAGCAAATCAGATGTCCTAGAGAATTTTGAACTCTCTTGAATGAGCAAAATTGTAGTCAAAGTAAGAAGATGGTGAATCCCAGTTAAATTCAGGTAATCCTGGGCTCTTGTGGGGAGGAGGTCAGCCATGTGCCAGCCCTCTGCCTGCCTCACAGAGCCTTCCCCTAGAGGTGCCCTCGTTGGTTCACCTGTGCTTGAGCCCCCACACATGAAAGGAGACACACTGGCCTGTGAGTGAAAGCCCTTGGCATGGACCCAAAGCTCCAGGAACTGACTCTTGGTGCCACAGTGTGAAGGGCACCATGGGATGAGGTGCCTGTGTGAAATAAGGGAAAGCAAGGCCAAGCTGACATATGTGCCATCTGGCCTGACCTAAAATAGGGCCAACTGTGTGGCCTCACTCATGAGCAGTGGGCCAGTTACTGACTCCTTCTGCAGTTCTATTCTCAAGGGCAGAAAAGCCAAGCTGAGCTACTCCACACCTGATACCACTCCTAGAGTGTCCAGACTAGCTTAAATTGCAGTGGTTGTGACATGACAGGGAAAGGAACCAAGCAGCTACTATTCCCATCCTGATGGGAATCCTGCCACCACTCTGAAGTTCGGTCACTTACCCAAAAGGTGGAGTTGAGTTTGGTCCCAGACAAAACAGGATCACTGCTGAACCCTGGCTAGCACAGACCCCTCAACAGAGGGACTTGTTGCAGGAAGGATACACAGCAGAACTCCAGTAACTAAAACCATGCTTCAGCCAATCCAAATGTTACAAAACCAAATGGAGACAACTAAGGCAGTTTTGAAAAACCGACGAAAACAGCAAACCTTAGCATCAGGCCTTACCACTTCTAGCTTGCTTTTGGGAACCCGGCAAATGCAGTTTGTCCCAAAATTGGTGTCCCGAGTCTGAATGCATCGCAGGCAGCACAAGTTCTCATACCCCTGCTTTTTCCACTTTGCAATCAGGTTTTTGTCTGCGTAGCCTTCTCTAATACAGTATTCATAGAGTTCTGTCAGAAAGATGACAAAAGGGCTTCAGACCACAGCATAACAAACCTGACCCACCCTTGTTTAAAAAGAAAAATCTCCCCATCTTTAGTGGTAAGAAAACTCATGATGCTTTGGTTGCAAGGATAAGGATTGTTAACCTATATAATTCTGAAATTATGCAAATTCAAAGGCCAAGAGAGAATTTAGCCAATTACCTCTGCTTATGGCTTTCCGCTTATAAAAGAGATCAAAGATATAGCGGGTTTTTTGGTGGTGGATTCTGAAGATGGGCCACAGAGATTCCACTTTCCTCTTTCCCTCATGAGGTTCTGTTTCAGCTGGAGAAAGAAGAAAAAAAAAGTAAATGTACTTGTTTTACAGAGTAGAGTTAGTCTGCAACTGCACAATATTTTTTTATTTTTTGTCTTTTTCGTTTTTATCGGTACCAGGGATCGAACTCATGACTGCCTGCTTGCAAAGCAGGCGCTTATGCTGCTGAGCTAAACCCCCAGCCCTGCAACTGCACAATATGGAGGGTTTTTTGGTTTTTTTTTTTTTTGCAGGGGGTAGGGGCTGTTGACCATGGATAATGAGCTGGGCATGGTGGCTTACAATTCCAGCACTAGAGGAGCTGAGACAGGAGGATTACAAGTTTGAAGCCAATTGTGTTACACAGTAAGACCCTATCTCAAAAAAAAAATAAAAATAAAAAAATAAAAAATAACCATTTTATATCCACTAGTACAGCTATAATCAAAATGACAGACAGCAATATGATGGTAAGAATGTAGAGAAATTGGAGTTCACACATACCACTGTGATAGCAATGTAAAAAGAGTGCAGCTACTGTGGAAAACAATTTGGCAGGCCTTTAAAAACTTAAAAACAGAACTTAAAAGTCATTATATGACCCACCAGTCCCACTCCTGGGAATACACCAAAAAGAATTGAAAACACACAGGCACATGCACATTTGTACATGAACGTTCATTGTAGTGAAAAAGCAGACGCAACCTACAAGTTTTCCAGCTGATGAATGGGTGAACTCTGTGGTATACCCATACAAAGGAATATTATTTAGCCATAAAAAGGAATGAAGTTAATCCTAGCGTTCTGGGAGGCTGAAGCAAGAGAATCTCAAATTCAAGCCCAGCCTGGGCAATATAGCATCTTAGCAAGACCCTGATTTAAAATTTTAATAACTTACCAGTCTAATTATTTAAATACACGATAACCAAAAATTGCATATTTTTCCATTATTTTCGTAAAAATGTAACAGGAAATATGACAATTTTATCAAATTTATTCAATACAAAAATTTCAACTGAGCTGGCCATGGTGAGGCACACTTATAATCCCAGCAGTAGGAAGACTGAGGCAGGAAGATCACTGCAAGTTTGCCAGTCTGCACTACATAGGTAATTCAAAGCTAACCTGAACTACATAGCAAGACCATGTCTTTAAAAAAAAAAAGAAACAAATCAACAGGTTGAAATGATTCCTGTGAGTAATACTCAGGATCATAAGTATGTAAACAAATGTGCTCCTGCCCCAGTGACACTTGGGCAAAAGTATTAAGTGGATAAAAGGGGGATGGGGAATGTAGATCACTGTAAAGGCCCAGATTCAATCGCCATTGTGTGCATGTGCAGTGTGTGCACGTGCAGACACATACTGAAATGCATGCTTCAACATGGATGAAGAAGCTTAAAGTGTAAAAGTGACTGGTGAGGCCCGCACAACTCTGAATATACCAAAAACCTCGTAATTGGATACTTTAACAGTGAATTTCTCAGCAAGTGATTATCTCCCAAGTAATTATCAGAAAAAAGTGATTGAAACATAATTGTTTTAACTTTAAAATGCCTTTTAAATTAAATAAATTAGAAACAGTCTCAAAAACATTCAACAATAATCTCTGTTAATACTCTGGTCTCATTTCTCTACACCTATTTTTATAGCCTAGTAATTTCTCAAGATAATTTTGGGCTTACAGATACGTAACTTAATGATCTTTAAAGTGACTAATTTCATTTTCCAGGTAAATCCTCTAGGACTGAGGAAGAGAACCAAAAGGAATGCACAATCTGAAGGTTTTCAGCAGTATGCAAATGACTCCTCCTTCCATGGCATAAGATCAAGTGGTACAGTAGAGTTCAGAGGTTCTACAAAGCAGAGGTTCAGAGTTTGAGGCCTCAATCATTTGTGTAGTTTTCCTCAGAACCTAACTAATAATTATTCTTGCCCTCCACCACCCTGCTGATTCACAGAAAGCCGAAGTATTATCTGCAGTTGTTTTCTTAGTGGGAGGTATGCAAGTAGCCACTCTGCAAGTGTTACTGTTGTCACTGTTGCTGACTGGCTGCTGCCCTGTAACTCATTTACAACAGATGCACCAGCATTCCGGAATCCTAACAGGTTGCTATACCTTGTGTAGCTATCTTGAGTGTACTCAGTTTTGTTCTTCTGAAGTCCTAAGATTCCTAAGATGCCACCAAAATGCCCTACAGCTTTTAAGGCTTTTTAAATACAGTATTTATTCAATTATGTAACTGGGAGATATACCATATTTAGTGTCTAAACTGTAAAAACAGACACAGGCATTTTTCTATCATATCTGAAATTTACGATTTTTCACAATTCAAGGGTGCACTAGGAACATAACCTCCATGAATTTCAGGAGTCGACTGTACTCATACCCACTGTAGTAAGGCAATTCTCTTTTAGCAATCAAAATTGACCTCTGTTGTTCATAAACAACTATTGGGGATGAAATCTCTCAGCCCACAATGACATTGATTACTGTAAGTTCTGGATATTTAATAAATGTAATCTGCAAAATCAGTTATAAAAAGGGGAAAGAATTTAAAACTGATTTAGTAATTATTGTTGAAGGTGTGATCTCATAACAGTGGTTAGATTCATTGTACACAAGCACTTAAAAGCTTGGTTTAGAGAATGGGGGTATAGTTCAGAGGTAAAATGCTTGCCTAGCACACACAAGACTCTGGGTTTGATCTCAAACACCACCAAAAAAAAAAAAAAAAAAAGTGAAGGGTGACATCTCAAAATATTACTTTTTGTATAATTTTTAATATACACCTAACCAAAACAGTATAGACTACTTATACGGTTTGTGTCTGGATGTCCCCCCAAAGCCTCATGCACTTTTAGATGTGGCGTTTTCAGAAGTAGTTGAATCTAGAGTTTGTGACTGATTCAAATGGCTCAATGCTAGGATTAAGGATGAGTGTTAGATCAGTCCACTGATTGGACTGGCACCACCCTAATCCCAGCAATCGGGATAAAACAGGCAGGAAGAGGTTTGTTTTTCCCTTTTTTGCCCTTGCTTTTGCTGTCTTTCAACATCATGAACACAACAGTTGCCCCTCTGCTATGTGCCACCCTGCCCTGGATCGAGCAGATTATGGACTGAAACCTCTACAAACTGTGAGCTAAATAAACCTTTTCCCCTTTAACTTTGGGAATTGGGTATCTTGTCCCAGCAACAAGAGAAAAGTAACTAACTGTTCTGAAGTATAGTCCTTAAAGCCTTTATATTCAAGTTGGTCCAAAAACTTTTTAAAGGTCCTTTTCATTAATGTTAATCTTGTCTTCCAGTAGTTGGAGCATTCTACATTGATAAGCAAGCAGTATATATACTCTAGTGTCAGAAGACAAGCATCTTATTGCACTGACTATGTGCCTCATCTTGGAGGAACCTAAGGCTGAGTCTCCACACAGCCAACACAGGCAGAAGCACCTCACTCACCTTCTCTCATCTTTTGATCCAATTCATCCAGTGTTGGTTCAATCAACTCCCAGCCATCTGGGGGAGCTTTCCGGCTTCTTTTGACTTTAGGCATTTTTTCCCCCCTTACAAGATAATTGGCAGAGATCTGGAAAAATAAATTGGTTTCTGAGTCTCAAGTTAACTACCAAACCTTTTGCCAGTCACTATTTTGGTACATAGTCACTTCCTGACGCCATACTGGTCATTGGGAACATAAACCAAGGAATTAAGGTACACAGTATGCTTTTTAAAAGGTGAAATTCTGATACAGAGATAGACAATTACAATCCAGGGTAAGGAGGACTATACCTGAGGGAGCCAAAGGGATGAATGTTTGAAAGGGAAAAGACAGTTGTTAAAACCAACAGTACCTTAGGATCTCTTTCCAAGAGTGACACAGAAAGATCTCTGGTCTTTGCAGTTACAGGCTTGGACTTTGGTCTCACTCTACCAGTCTGACTTTGGAGTCCTTCTTTGAGTCAGTCTCATCTGTAAAATGAGAGGAGCAGATGAGCTGATTACCAAATTCTTATTTATTTATTTAGTGGTACTGGCAATTAAACCCAAGGCCTACGACTAAGCTATACCCCTAGACCTTTCAGGATTTGAACTACCAAATCATCATTCCTCAGTCTTCCAGAGTGTTGGGATGAAAGGCGTGTGCCATCACGTCTAGCTGTCAGAGTCCCTTGTAGAGAACATGTTTCATAAAATCAGGTAAAGCTTATACGAATGCCAGGCTAAACAGCAAAATATTTTCAAAATACATAGTATTTCCTAGCTGGCAAAGAAAAGTTCAGGTTCTTACCCATAATCACAGCCAACCCATCTCTTTCCACATTCACTGTCTGCCGCTGCAAGGTACCTGATGCTACAAAGCCCCCTGCCCGTAACATTAAAACTCTCCATAACAACTTTTTAGATAAGCAAGCAAACTCTAAAGGGGTGATATCACGGTTGCAGAGCTGATTGACGGCTCCGGACTAGCAGTGGTGTCCCCCGAGCTGAAGCCAGGATGGATGAAACTGGTCCCTGATCCTGGGCGAACAGCCAGTGACAAAACAATGACTTTCCTCTGACCCACGGATATTCAAAAGTCCTGGCTCTACCTGTGAGTTTGAATCCTCTAGGGAATATAATGGTAGGCTGTAAAGACAGAGAAAAGAGGTGTTGGGCAGTATACAGAAGTGGGAACACTCAAGGGCCGGGATGAGGGACACAGGAGAATGTTATAGCCAGGACTGTAGGAACGGCTCCTAAAAAGGATGTCATCTGAAGTGTGCTTAGAAAAACAAATAGTATTTAAATAAGAAAAACAAACCAATCCCATGAAAAAAGGGTGTGCAAAGAAGCCTAGTACCAAAAAAACACCCGAAGTCTACCATTCCCTCGGCAAAACAAAAAGGCGCTGCTGACTCTTCTCTGCGCAGGTAATCAAACTGCACTCCATAGAACTCTAGTCCCGGCCTCAGCCGTTGCCAATGTACAGTGTGCTTAAGAGCCCAGGAAAAATACTCACCGGAAGCCTCAGCTCAGGCAGGGGCCGCCGCTCCTCCACATACGGCTTCCGCCCCTCCTAGCTCGCTTTGGAATGAGTCCCCTTGGAAGCCCCGCTCTACTGCGCGCGAAGATTGCGTCACTTTAGGTGTCCGCAGCTCTGCCAGTATACAATTCCGGAGCCGCTAGGGATCTTTGCCCTCCTGTCTCGGGAAGGCTGGCAAGACTACGTGTCTTTCCAGATGCAGGCACTGGTGACGCTGTTGCCAGGTAGCGAGCTGCCAGACTTAGACTCAGGCGACACGCGGGACAGTCTGGCTTCGTGTGCCGGCCTCTGTGAGGTCCCCTTTCTCGCGGTGATGGCGGCGGCGGCGCGCTGAGCGGACTGGGCCGGGCGGAAGAAGTAGATCTTAAAGTGTTTCCGGTTCCTGTGTCACTTCGAGGCGCCGCCGCCGCAGCCACTGAAGCAGCGATGCCTAAAGGAGGTGAGAAACAGGCGCGCGTGCTTATGAGTGTGTAGGGGCAACGTGGGGCCCGCTGCTGCTGTGCTTTAAACCCGAGGGCGTCTTGGAGAACTGCGCAAAAGGAGACCTTACGCGCTGAGAGCCAGGCCTGGGCCTCGAAGCCCAATTGTCCCTGTGGGCAAACTTAAGCACCATGACGGTCTAGAGCTGCGCTGTCGGGGATGTAAGGAGACTCGGGGGATTGGACCTCCCCGGCGCAAAAAGGGCTGAAGGCGCGCTTCTCCAAGCTTGGGGGCTTTAGAGAGGTCTGGCGTTTCCTCCCACTTTTCAGCTGGTGAGGGACTGAGTCACAGCGTCCCGCGCCTTGCGGGCCTTCCTGCATCGCGCGTAAAATGGGGGCCCTTTCAGGCTCCTTGCTCAGCCAGGCCTCTCTAATAAGAAACTCGGGAACCTGGCAGATACGGCTCTGACTCCTGTACTCGATAGCAGCTCACTATATACATTTGAATCAGTCGCATAACTTCTTTGTGTCTCGATTTTCTCTTTTGCAACTGGGACAATGATGTGTGTGTATCGCATAGTACTGACGGGAGGCTTAAAGTCGTAATACATATAGAATGCTCTGCAGAGTGTAGGGCAGCCATTAAGTGCCCACTGAGCATTAACTATTACTGTTTGCGTGGGATATTGCCAGCTCTTGATCAAGGAGGCCCATGCTTTCCCAGTACATTATAGCTTACTTGCCATTCGTGTTCTCTTTCATAGCCTATAGTTTTGCTTTAAAATCCCAGCTACGTCATTATCTTGTTTTATTTATCTGGAATATCAGCATAATAACTCTTAACTTGGCAAATTAGGAACAGGAGTCATAAGATGACAGAACACAGAAAGTGCCAGGCTAGCTCCTGGCACAGAACAGATGTTCAATTCATATTGGCAGCTTATGTGTTATGCTGGTTAATGCACTCAGCTTACAAGGCACATCTGCTTGGAGCGCTTTCAGACCTAAATTACTTCCGACTCAACGTTCAGAAATGTTAGCTTTTGCAAAACGGAATCATTCAAAACCTAGCTCTGATGATTTATTTGGTAGCTGGAAGACCCATGTCTCTCTTACATTTCATGGTTTTTTACATCTGTAAAAGGCAAGGGGTTAGCATGACGAATGAACTTCTCTGGCTCCAACATTAAAAGTTAAAATCAGACTAAGACCGGCGTAGTGGCCCATACCTGTAATCCCTCAGCTGGTGAGGCTGAGGTGGGAGGATTGTTTCGAGTTCCAGACCAGCCTGGGCTACAAAGTGAGCTCGAGGCCAGACAGAACTGCATAGCGAGACCCCGTCTTAAAAAAAGACAAAAAAAAGTTAAAATCAGAAAATCTGGAATATGAATTCTTAGTTAAATGACTTGGTCTTGTAGCTTGTAAACAGTTTTGCAGACAAGTTTTTTTTAGTTAGGTTAATTTGCTTAAAAACACAAATCATAAAAGTGTTGAAAGTATAAAATTCCCTATGAACAAGGCACCAGCTCTGTCTTTTTTTTTTTTTTTTTTTTTTTTTTTTTTTTTTGAGACAGGATCTCACTATGGAGTTTAGGCTAGTTTTGAACTCATTATATAGGCTAGGCTACCCTTGAACTCACTGTGATCCTCCTGCCTCAGCCTCCAGAGTGCTGGGATTACAGGCATGGGCTACCATGCCTGGCATCTCTTTACTTTCACTATACTGTGAAATATTTTTTAAAGTCTTACAGAGCCTCTGATAAAAAGTTACTGTAGACTAAGTATCACATCACCAGATGTAGGGGCTAAGAGCCTGTAGTAACTCAATTTTAGTTGTTATCATGGCCACATATTAAGAAGGTAAAAAAAAGTTTTGGGTTTTTAATGGCAAGCTTGGTGTCTCACAATAGTCCTTTCATGAGCATAGACTTAGATAACTCCTGGGAACCTAGGTAGTCATTAAAAATGGGTGGTGTGGGCTTTAGCCATCCAATTATGGCTCTACAGCTGCTGTCTAGGAAATTAGAGGAGACCAGTATCTTTACTACTGTCTCTGGAGTCTGGAGCAGCTCTCACTGTCTTAATTACATGTTCTCTGTTCACAGCAAGGGACCCTCTGGAGATCATGTGGATCACAGCTTCTAAGAGAGGTCGTGTGTTTCTGAGGGATGCCACTCTGCTGTAAAACTGGTGGATGGCTTTAGTAGGTGTCAGTCTAATGTTCAGGAGGGTCAGAATATAAAAATTTGTACCCTCAGGTGAATTTTCGTTGCCAGCCACATTTTAACACCTTGGACTATAGCCAGGTTTATTTTCAACTTTAACTTCATTTGCTAATTTCATTCCAAGGACAAAAGATTTTGCTGATAGATTTTGGGTATTTTTTAAACTATGTATTCTCTACCATATTACTAAAGTAAATATGAAGTATTTTTTTTCTTCTTTCTGTCTCATTTACAGTAAATTGTTTATGTGGTTAGTGGTTCTTTGTTGTTGTTTTCTCATCAAATACTATTTTAGAGAGATAAACAACAGTCCTGGCAGACAGTTTTGTAATGCTTATCCTGTACCAGGGGCCATTCCAGCAGCTTTGCATGTGTAAACTGATCTGTCTTCATAGCAGACCTATGAAGTAGGAACATATGAGAAAATAGACTCTGAGAAGTTAACAAGTTTAGCTAAGATTTGAATGAGGGGTTGGCCTCCAAAATTCTTACTCTTCACTGATGCTTTTACCTTAAGTCTCCTTGTCTAGAAAATGAGGTCATCAATGACTCTTACACTGTAGGTTGTTTTGAAGATCAAGTGAGCCTGTGACCGTGACAGAACATGGCACCTAAAAAGCCCAGCAGTGACTATTAAGTGATTTTTGTGCTTGTGTCAGAGTCCACTGTGTTTGGGTTCTGAGGGACCAGGGGACTTAGCCAGTTGTTTTGCCGTGCACAGTACCCTGTGTTCTTCCCTAGGTCTGATTCACAGGAACTAGATCCAGCATACTTTGGCGGTGCATCAGGTGGTTCATGAGTTGCTTCTTGTGTCCCTTTGAACACATGTGAGTGGGGGAGGTGTGGGTTTGTGTGGTGCGTGGTGAAGGGACAGTGAGATTTCTGCAGCTTCTGATAAGAGCATCCAGGTAGA